TCAATTACAGACTCCGGTGTTCTTTCATCTCCGACATATAAATATATAAATTATATTCTAAACTAAACTACTATTAATGTGTGCGCATTCTACATTATTGATTCAAATCGATAATCTAAGATATATACTTAAAACTAGCCTACATTCTGGTAAAGAGTTATAAAATAAGAACTACATTACGAAACATGCATGTCTCTATGCAAACATATAAAGAATCTATATTCTAAACTGCTACTAATGTATGCGCATTCTACATTATTGATTCAAATCGATAATCTAAGATACATACTTAAAACTAGCCTACATTCTGGTAAAGAGTTATAAAATAAGAACTACATTACGAAATATGCATGTCTCTATATAAATATATAAATAATCTATATTCTAAACTAAACTACTACTAATAATCTACAAAAGAAATAGAACATACAACGCAACACTTGGGACTAAGTGACAACCTGTCGATAGGCCAAACGCTCAAAATAATTAACACCGCAACGACTTGAGGAATTGCGTACAGAAATTCTACCATCAAACACAAATATGTAAAAACACATTAGACACACAATAATCTAGAAACAAAACCTTCAATACTATGTTGTCACAATACAAGAAATGATTGACACATAACCTCAAATGCACAACATTACATCGCTAAAGAATCTACATGAAAATCACTTTGCCAGAAATATATACACATATACGTGTGCGTGTGCGTGTTCTATCTCATTAAATGAAGTTAATATAAAATAAATAATTGACATTTCATTTCGTATGAATACTACACTGCCAGGAGAAATATGCATATAAATACGTATATATATATATATATATATATATATATACGTATATATATATATATATATATACGTATTTATATACATATACGCATATACATATATATATATATATATGTATGTGTGCGCGTATGTTTTATATTATACTCTATAAAATAAACTACTCAAAACAATAAATAACGCTATCGAAGAATTACAAAACATTAGCCATATTAAAATGACACACAACATAAATATATATATATATACGTATATTCACACGAACAACACTACTGTCACTTTAAAACAATATTAATAAATAAATGTTCTAATTGCGGTGGAATAAGGAAAAACGAGCAGACGGAAAATTACTTCGATATCAAACAAAACTAAAGACCCGTCACTATAACTTTACTGATGACATTTATGAGCAACCATGTTGGATTTACACGCGTCATGGCGACAGGAATATTAGGGATTAATGGAAGTCAGGCGCGAGAAACAAATCATGAAAACACATTGTTAACACTTTTCTTTAATAAATTTTATGCGCAACTACAAATGTAAAAAATATATATACATATATTATTAATTAAAAAAGGGGAAAATATAAAATTAAATACACATATATTTAACAAACATAAAATAGATAACCTAACACTATCACATTTAAAATGTATATATATATTGAACACAAACAAAATACATCAAAAAAAAATAATAATAATAAGGAACATCAAACAGCGATCCAACGAAATTGAAGCAGCTACACTAAATCAAAATCGTAGCAAGGAGCTCCAGGACAAAGTTCGCTGAACTCACGCATACACCAATAACGCACAACAGGGGAAATTCCCTTTCTCCCAGAAGCATGGTGACGAAGATGTGCCTCCAAAACCTCTCCGGGAATTTCATTTGCAAAACGAACTTTCACACCACGATCGGTATCAACGATTTCAACCAGAGGGGGTTCCCACTCCAATATGACGGTCTCTGCATCGAAGAAACTCTCATCGAAGGTAACCAAATCGTCAAAGCTCAATTCCGACGGGAAATCCACGGCCTCGGCACCAATGTCGAACATTTCCTCCAACCACACTGATACTTGTGGTTCATCACAGGGCCGCATGCGTCTGATAGGTCTTCCCGAGTCGCCCATGGGTTCTTCGGAATCCCTCTTTCGCTTGCGCTGAAAACAGCACAGTATAGTTAAATAAAACGAAACAGGACAAATCAAGAGGACTAAAAACAAGACTAAATACGTACCAGGGAAGTCTGGATAGGAACCTCTGATGGAAATGACTCCGCAAACATTGTTCGAACGTCGACCACCGAAGCCTAGGGAAATAATAAAAAAGGAAAAAGGGAAAAAAAAAAAAAAAAAAAAAAAGAAAAAGGATTAAAATCGCGAAAACAACCATAATATGCAAATATCCAAACTTACGCAAAATAACTCGAAGGAGGAGGTCCTTGTTATGGGAGAGCAGCGGAATTGCGCGTGTTGCCCGAGCAAACATTGAAATGATAATGATGCTGCAGCCACCAGCCCTTGCACGCGCCGAAGAAACACAGGTAATTCCCACGGTATGCACGGGTAATTCCCACGGTACAAAACATAGAAGTTTCTCGCGGAAAAGACTAGATCAGCATGGAATGCTTCAAGCCTCCTAGACGCTAGCTTAGCAGCAACACAGGACCGATAAAAACTAAGTCGAAATATGGAATTTACATTTTGTCACGTACGATTCCAAGAAACCCAAACTGTAACATCCTGATTCCCACGGAAGCGTACCCCCAACGGACCACCAGCCCGTGGGGGATGGCATTATAAATAAGCGAAGCAACATAGGACAGCGCTCATTATTTTTGTTCATTCTTAGCGCTCATTATTCTTTACGGCTCATTATTATAGTGATCATTGTTATTACCATTCATTATTATTTTTGTTCATTCTTTGTGCTCATTATTATTCTGGTGAAAATTCTTATTACGTTCATTATAATTTGTGTTCATTGTTATTACGGATCATTCGTATTACGCTCATTAATTTGTTCATAATTCTTGTGATCATTTGTTATTACGGATCATTATCATTGCTCATTCTTCTTGTGTTCATTATATTTTGTTCATTGTTACTACGTTCGTTATTGCGCTCATCATTGCGTTTAGAAATTTTGTATAGTATTTTGCGTTTCGGGGTCTTTAGTTTTTCGGTCAAGAAAAAGAGAGTCGCGATTAAGTAAAAGAAAAATTTTATCTTTGAAGTCCTCATTTCATCGCTTAGAAGAAAAAACGCATTGTAATTGCGGTATTAATCCAGTTAGTAAATTGTTCAGTTTGTATCGAAATAGATAAATAAAGTAAAAGTTGATAGTAAACTATATTCGAGTTCAAGTAATAATCTCAACAAAAACTTCGACAGACCACCGGAGCAGCTGAGGTAATGGCGCCAGACAGCACCTACTCCTCAAGGTAAGAAAATTAATTTTAAAAATTGGTAAGAAAATTAATTTTGAAAATTTCCTTCTTCTCTGATAATTTCGTTGCCCTCGAGAATCGAATTAGAACTTCCTATCATCGATCTCGTTTTATTTTCGTGAACGGTTTTGAAGATAGAGTCATTGTTTAAACTTTAAACAAAGGAGTTATCCGCTGTATCGGCTTGTGCGAACGGTGTTTTCAGCTATTGAAACACCCACTGATTTTCGCATTCCTCCTCCCATTGTTGGTAAAATATT